CACATAAAAAATTGTTTTTTCTTTATTTTTTTTTGTTTGAGGGGGTGGGGCTGGGGATGTGCCGCCCCATGGCGCTTTCCAAATCCCCAACCCCCCTCCCCACCGGCCGCCACACGTCCGCGCTTGTCCGCCGCCGAGGGTGTTTCGTAGCCAACAAGTGCCCGAATGCCTGGCCAGGCAGCGAGCTGTTTCCTATATGGAAAGAGCCTGCCTCATTCGGCAGCCTGGCTGGACTGGCCTGGGCCCAGAAGCTTCCGGTAGGCCCCAGGATGCTGCGCCTCTTTTGCAGCTACTGGGCCTCATTATGTTGGGCCTCCCAACTGTCTGTGTATGAGGCTGCCATTCTCGTCCAGGGCCTGCATCATTTTGGAAAGGCCTGGAAGGCCGTCGAAATTGACAGCCGAGGGCCTCTTGTGGCGGACGCGACCGCGCTTGTCTGCCGCCGAGGGTGTTTCGTAGCCTGCAAGTGCCCGAATGCCTGGCCAGGCAGCGAGCTGTTTCCTATATGGAAAGAGCCTGCCTCATTCGGCAGCCTGGCTGGACTGGACTGGGCCCAGAAGCTTCCGGTAGGCCCCAGGATGCTGCGCCTCTTTTGCAGCTACTGGACCTTATTCTGTTGGGCCTCCCAACTGTCTGTGTATGAGGCTGACATTCTTGTCCAGGGCCTGCATCATTTTGGAAAGGCCTGGAAGGCCGTCGAAATTGACAGTCGAGGGCCTCTCGTGATTTGTTAGGCCCGCCTTCACTTAGGGCGGGCACAGATGCAACGGGGGGCCCTTAGGCCTGCCGAGGATCCAAATCCTCGCATTCCCTCCTGGTGTGCTTCGATAGTCCTCTGAGAGGTCTTCTATTCTGCAGGCATCTTCCCCTTGAGATCTCTTTCGTAGCCCCTTAAAATTTATTTATACTCTGAATACGGACGCCGCCCGGCCGGGCGGGGCCCGGGTGGGTGGCCCGGGCAAACCGGGCGGGCAAAAAAACAGCCCGGAAATACATCTAAAATCAATGATCAATTAAATTAGATTCTCTTATTTATTGTTACAAAACAGAGAAAGAAATAGTATGAATAAATATATATTTTTTGAAGGCGGGGTCCTGTGCTCGGCCAGAGGACCCCGAATCTGCAATAAAATTCTGGTTTTGGGGGGGGGACGGGTCGTCTGGGTGGTTGGGG